TCAATTTTGCAGGCCAATGTTAACTGAAATTTTGGGAACTCTATTTAGGGGATTGCTTATAGAGTCCCGTATGTGATAGGCACTGAAAGACAGAACAGTGTAAAATCATGCGTTTTCTGTATAGCTAGGTTTGCTTTCCCTCTATTTTTCTTTAAAATATTTCTGTTTGTGTTATCCTAGTTGCTTTCTCACAGGGTGCTTTAAATAGTATAAGGCAAAATTAATTTCCTTTTTTCTATGTTTATAAAATATATAAATTAAAGTGAAAAGTAAATAAGAGACCTTCCAGGACCACTTGTTTTACTCGGACTCTTCAAGCTGAGTAACCAGTATTGCGGGATTGCTCTTCATTTAAATATGTTTTCTTTGTTAAAATTGATACAAAAAAGATGGCAATAAGTCATTGCAGCACAGGAAAGCATCTGAATTTGCAAACTTTTTCTTCTAGTAGGATGGAAACTAGGAACTGATGATGGTATGGAGGAGGTAACCTACAGCTTTAATAGGACCCGTAAAGAAGAGTTACTCACCAGTATTTTTCATGAGTGTGACACGAAATGCAGAGCTAAGTTGAAAATTATCTGCTCAAACGTTTGGTAGTAGTCGTCAGGTCATCTCTGCTTTCTATGAGAGGAAGGGAAATGGTGTGTGTGTGTGGTCCTCTGTGTTTCTGTATCTATAAGCATGGTGGATGCAACCTAGTCTGGGTATAAGGATGGCTGTTTAGGTGCTGGTTATTTCATTTTCACTTTTTTGTACCTAATTTGCATGTTTGACCAGTGTCTTGGTTTATTGAGCTTATTGACTAATTTACCAGCCATGTCACAGGTGTTACCTCACAAGATATACTTCATATTTATAAAACCACTGTACAAGTTTAGGTCAAAATATTTAATTTTAGATTTTCACTTCTGTTTTTTTTCGAGGTGTGTTCTTTTTAAAATTTCCACAGTTTTTAGTACGTATGTGATTCATGCTCATTTTAATAAAATCAATCATACCTAAGCAAAAAGAAAGGGAAAAACCATCAGTAATCCTGTTGCCCTGAGTAACCGTTAGGGATCTGTTGTAGAACCTTCCACAGGTTCCTCTGTCAATATGTTTTATTTGGATTCAAATATCCTTTTTTATTATAGAACATTTCAAATACATGCAGAAGTAGAAGGGAGTAATGAGCCTCTATATAAATATGTGTAATAATGAATTATGCCTCATTTTAACCCAGCCCATTTTCCTGTTATCCACTCACTATGGATTATATTGAGACAAATCCATGACATCATATTTCATCTGTAAAAGATAAAGACTGTTTCCAAACTCAACCACGATGTGATTATCATGACTAAAAAGGTAACATAATTTCTTAATATCAAATATCCTGTCAGTATTCAAAATTTTTCCTTTGTGTGAGAAAATTTTTTCTTAGTTTAATTGTTCAAGTCAATATCCAAGAAAGGTTTGTGCATCATAATTAGTTGTCTGTCTTGTTTCTGACTCCCCTTCTCATCTCTCTTTTATGTGTTTTTAAGTTATTTGTTAATGAAACTGGTTCTTTTCTCTCGTAGAGTTTTCTTGGATCTGAATTTTGGTGATTGTGTGGCTGTAGGAACCTTGAACCTGTTCCTTTGTCCCCTGTATTTAGAGGTTGGATCAGATAAGACTTCGGTTTATTTATCTTTCTGGCAAGAACTCTATATAAATAGTGTTATGTATTTTTATCAGAAGGCAAAATTATTGATGAAGGCCTAGATCTATTCTTCCATAAGGCTTACAAATGTGGATAGTTCCACTTTCCTTTCTAATGTGTCAGCTGGGATAGTCTACAAAGAGCAGCTCTACCTTGTTTCTTCAACTATTAGGCTCTCCTGAGACTTATTTCCTGGATAAAAGCTTGGCTGTGTTTCTGATCAACTTGAGAGTAAGTTGTAGATATTATGCCTCTTCATCCTTAAGTGCAGTTTATTTCCTATGAACAAGGCCACTTTCTTGCATAACCACAGTACAGTGATCAAAATCAGGATATTTAACATTGATACAATACAATCTAATTCAAAATTTTATATTCAAATTTTGTCAGTTGTCCCAGTAATGCACTTTATAGCTTTTTGTTTCCTGGTACAGGATCCAATTCAGAATCACATTTAGTTGTCACATCTCTAGTTTCCTCAAATCTGGAACAGTTCCTCAGATTCCTTATCGTTTATGACCTTGAAATTTTTTAAGGTGTGGATCAGTTTGTTGAACGTCTTTCCTCTTGATTGTTCGGTTATATATTTTTTGCAGACACTGCAGAGATCATGTATGGTCTCCTCAGTACACTATACCAGGACGTTTAACTTTGAACACTTGATTAGTGTGCTATCTGCCAACTTCCCCATTGCAGAGTTACCCTTTTTCCTTCGTAGTCAGTAATTTATGGGAAGATACATGGAGTCTATATAAATATCCTATTCCTCATCAAAATTTCACTCACTAGTTTTAGCATCTGGGATACTGTGATTTATAATACATATGTATTTGGTCTTTGTCCCATTTCTGGCACAGACCTAAAACTGTTTAATTTAAAGGTGTCTTTTGTTATGTTAATGAGGTGACTTTTAGGCACCGCCTAAGAAGGGGGGCTGGCTGCCAGGAAAGCCAACCATGTAATTAGGCTGGAAACTTCAACCTCACCGCACAGCACACACCCCTCTGGGGAGCAGGGCAGGGGCTGGAGATTGAATTCAGTCATTGATGGCCAGTGGTTTAATCCTTCATGTCTGTGTAATGAAGGCTCCATAAAAGCCCAAAAGGAGGGGGTTTGGAGGGCTCCCAGGTTGGTGAACATGTAGCAGTTTGGAAAGGGTGTCACTCCCGGGAAAGCATGGAAGCCCCATGCCCTTACCCCATGCCTTGCCCTATTCGTCTCTTCCATCTGGCTCCTCTTGAATTACATCCTTTTATAATAAACTGGTAATCTAGAAGGAAAATGTCTCCCTGATTTCTGTGAGCTGCTCTAGCTTATTAATTGAATCCATGGGAACTTCCAACCAATAGCTGGTTGGTCAGAAGTGTAGGTAACAACCTGGACTTAACAAATGCCATCTGAAAGCGGGGAGTTGGGGGGTGTCAGTCTTACAGGACTGAGCCCTTAACCTGTGGGATCTCACGCCATCACTGGGTAGTGTCAGAATTGAGCTGAATTGTGGGATACCTAGCTGGTGTCCAAGAATTGCTTGAATGTGTGGGAAAAAAAAAATCCCACATATTGGAACTGGTGATCAGAAACACAGCATCCATTGATATTCCTTGCCTAAATCAATGATTATTATGATGGTTGTCAAATAGGAATTTTTCTGTCTCCATCATTCTTTCTATACTTATTGCTTGTCAATATACCATAGGAGTTTTACTTCTACCTAATTAATGAATTAATGTCATTGTGCATTTCTGAATTCTTCTTATATTGAGTGGCTTATAATCTGTGGCTGTAATTATATATACTGTTGCTCAAATTGTCCCAGATTTAGCCAGAAGGATATTCTTCAAGATGGCTTTTATGTCTCTTTGTATGTCCCCATCTTTCTTTGAGCATTTCATTACTTCCTGGTATAACAAGATGTCCCAGATACTAAACTTTTGACATGTCCCCATCATTTTTAATAGCTCGCTTGTTTTCCCTGATACTATAAAAATCTCTAGGCTTATGTTATACATTTCCTGTCCGAACCTTGGGATCAACTATTTATTCAAGGATTTCTCATTGGAAATAATATGGAGAGACTGCAATCTGGGGGCAAGGGATGGTTGTCGTTTATAAGCCTTTTCAGTGGTCAGACTTGGGAAGTTCCTAAAATTTTTGAAGATAAAATATATTATGAGTTTGTTGCCTTTCTTCCAATGCAAGTTCAGGACTACAGGAGTTTTACTTAGGAACAGATACTATATTTGTATCTTCTTTGACACCCAGAGAAAATCCTGGTTCCCCCTGACTAATAGAAATGTTCATTTGCTTTATTCAACAATACATAGAGAACAGTTCCAGAATAATGATACCCAAACTACTTGTATCATCTCTTGGTTGCTGAATTACCATTAACTTGGAGACTTAAATCAACACACATTTATTATTTGACAAACTTTCTGGATCACAAGTCCAGGCACAGCTTGGCTGAGTCCTTTACTAAGGAACTCACAAAGCCGCAGTCAAGCTCCTGACCGGGGCAGCTGTCTTTGGCTCAGTTGGGGCGTGACCTGCACCATTTATTTCCTTCAAGTTATAGGATGGAGGGCTTCAGATTCTTGCCGCTGTCAGCTGGAGGCCTCTCTCACTTTCTGGTAAGCTGGGTCTCTCAACATAAGCCCATAACATGGCAGTTGGCTTCTTCAAAGCCAGCAAGGGAATGAGCGACTCCAGCAAGACAGGCACTGAGATCTTCTGTAACTAGTCACACACACACCGTATAGATGTATCACCTCTGCTGTGTTCTGTGGCTGGAGCAAGTCACAGGCTATATCCACATGCAAGGTGAGGAAACTGCACCAATGTATAAGCCTCAGGAGGCAGGGATGGTAAGGGACCCTCTAGCGCCTGTTTACCTCCCTACCGCAAAATGATTGCTGAAAATGGTTTAAGACTTTTTTGGTCATTCTTTTTTTCTTAAGATATATATGACTTGTACCCTAAATAGGCATGGGAATATAATCTGTTTTTTTATCTTCTTTATCTCAGTAATTTTGAATATTGAGTACTTGCCCGTGTCAACAAATTTTCTTTGTATACTCTTTTTAGGCTGTATCATATTCAACCAATCTGTGTTTCGATAGCATTTTCTTTCTCTTATAATTAGCATCAGAATGAACATCTTTTTAAAAAAATTAAAGTATCATTGATAATACAATCTTATGTTTCAAATATACAGCACAGTGGTTCAACAGTTACCCATATTAAATCTTCACGCCATCTAGTGTGGTCACTATCAAGGTAATAGGATGTTACAGAATCAACTGTGTTCTCCATGCTGTACTGCTGTCCACGTGACCAACCTATATTGTGATTGCTAATTATAGTGCCCTTTTCCCCTCCCACCCACCTCCCCCAACACCTCCCCCTTGGTAACCACTCGTCCCTTCTCCATGTCTACGGGTCTACTGCTATTTTGTTCCTTCGGTCTTGCTTTGTTTTTATGCTCCACAAATAAGTGAAATTATTTGGTACTTCTCTTTCTCTCCCTGGCTTATTTCACTGAGCATAATACCCTATAGATCCATCCATGTTGTTGCAAATGACAGGATTTCTTTTCTTTTTATGGTTGAATAATATTCCATTGTGTATATGTACCACATCTTCTTTATCCATTCATCTATTGATGGATATTTAGGTTGCTTCCATATGTTGGCTATGACAAATAGTGCCGTGATAAACATAGTGGTGCATATGTCTTTGTGAATCAGCAATCTTGTTTTCTTCAGGTAAATTCCTACAAGTGGAATTACTGGGTCAAATGGCATTTCTATTTTTAGTTTTTTGACGACCCTCCATATTGCTTTCCACAATGGTTATACCAATTTACATTCCCACCCACAGTGTAGGAGGGTTCCCATTTCTCTGCATTCTGGCCAGCATTTGTTATTTCTTGTCTTTTGAACAGTGACCATCCTTACTGGTGTGAGGTGATTTCTCACTGTGGTTTAATTTGCATTTCCCTGTTAATTAGTGATGTGGAGCATCTTTTTATGTGCCTGTTGGTTGTCTGTATTTCTTCTTTGGAGAAGTATCTGTTCAGGTCCTCTGACTGATTTTTTAATCAGGTTATTTGTTTTATTGGGTGTTGAGATGTAAGAGTTATTTAGGTATTTTGGATGTTAACCCCTTATCAGATGAATCATTTATGAATACATTCTTCCATACTGTAGGGTGCCTTTTTGTTCTGCTGATGGTGTCCTTTGTTATACAAAAGCTTTTTAGTTTGATGTAGTCCCACTTGTTCGTTTTGGATTTTGTTTCCCTTGCCTGAGGAGATGTGTCCAGGAAAAAAGTTGCTCATGTTTCTATTCAAGAGATTTTTACCTATGTTTTCTTCTAAGAGTTTTATGGTTTCATGACTTACATTCAGGTCTTTGACCCATTTTGAGTTTACTTTTGTGTATGGAATTAGGTAATAATCCAGTTTCATTCTCTTACATGTAGTTGTCCAGTTTCCCTAATACCAGGTGTTGAAGATGCTGTCTTTTCCCCATTGTATGAAGAATGAACATTCTTGTAGCATAACATTAGCATGCACCCTGAGTTATATTGCTAGGATGAGTGGGACTTATTTATTTCCAGAAAGCCTTTCTGCTTGGAAAGGATTGAAGGAATTGTTTCCCTGAAAGAAACTGAGGCTCAAAGAGATCAAGTCATTTTCCCAAAGCCACACGTCCATTACATTCCAGAGCCAAGGTCTGACACTAGGTTCTTCAGGCTCCAGCCCAAAGCACTTTGCATGCCAACTCAACAGGACCAGGGGTATACGGCAAGTTTCCAGGACCCTGGGGATCTGAAAGAGTTAAGCACATCACTTAAAAAAATAATCTTCATCCATCTTTCAAGATTAATTTGTCTTTCTTCTTGCTAAGGCTCAGTAGGGATGGCCAAAATAATAGATCACCTAGGACAAACAACAAGTCAAGATTCTGAGGAGCCATGGAGCACACTTGATCCTGAAACAACAGACCTGCAAGTGGATCTGGAAACTTCCCATGCCACCAGGAAAGAATGGACAGCTTGCTGCAGCTACAAAGGGTAATCGTAGTCCCAGCAGGATGAGTTTTCAGGCTCTGTTTTAAAGTTGACTGCAACTGGTGCTAATCACTGTTTTCTGTTGATGGAAATACTATAATGTGGTGCTCCTTACACCTCAGCTTACATTGGAGTCACCTAAGCAATATAATACCTGGTGTTTGGTCAGTCCCTCCCCCCCGCGGTGATTCAGTAGGTCTGGGGGGCATCCTGATAACCTGTATGTCTAACATGTTTCAGGGTGATACTGATGGAGAGGATGGGGGCTTGTGGTGGGCACAGTTTGAGAACCTAGTATGTTGTTGATGTTGATGCTGATGACATCCATTAACGCTGATTAGGAGACGGCACATATTATGTTCTCACAGAGAACTGAGCCAGCATAGGAGTCAAGCAGATTATTAGTCCTGACATAGTAGGTAGATGGCCGGCCCTGAGCAGGGGAGGAGGACAACTTTGGTAAGTGTTGACATTTGACTAGATGTTTACTTACGTTCCACACATTCTTTGAAAGCTTTTCTTGCCACGTGTGGAGTGAGACTGTAGACAACAGAATGGCCAAAACCAGGTAGTTCCAATATGGGGGGAAATTGACTCAAAGTTCACCCCAAAATTCATTGCCATAGTAAAAATCACACCTCCCTGCACCATGACAATTCCAACGGGGACAAAATATAGTCAAAAATCCCTCCACCCCATGAGAAGGGGGAGTAAGCCAGACCCCCAGGAAGGCCCAATCTCACTCATGGAATATTCATCTCCCTTCCTGTAAAAAAGGCTCCCAGTTGTTCTCTGCACGGCCCCCTCTGGTTCTCCTTGCGCCCAGCTCTCTGGGGACATGCACTTTTTTTCTGAACTTTATTTTCCAAATGAATTCTTAATGTTCAATAGCATTTCTGCATCTGTTCTTGAACTCCTTCTCTCAAGAAGACCCAGGACTCATCTCCCGTAACACCACCACCAAATCTCCAAATGCATGTGAACTCAGAGTGAATGCTCTTTCAAGGTCAGTGGGGCCCTTGAGGCAATGAGTGTAATTGGGAAATATAGAATTTAGGGAAACTAAAGGGAAAAGAAAAAAAAACAGTAAGATAGAAAAAAGAAAAAAAGGTGGACAAGGAGAACGGTGCCCTAGCCTCAGGTGCTCCTAGTGCGTACTGTAGGAGCATTACTGTTTTTCCCAGGAAGTCCAATTCCTGTGACTTTTACTCTGCCACCAGTCCCCAGCTGTCAGCTGGTATATACTAGGGATTTGCTTAAAGAAAACTTCAAGCTCAAAGAATGTCAAAACTTGCAGGATTCCACATCAGGTTAGGATATCTAGATGACTTAGGAAATGATAACCAAATCATTGTTTGCTATACACGAGTTAATTGTGAAGGCAAGATAAAAATATGTAAGAAGATCTGATCTTACTAGCAATCAAAGAAATGCAAATGAAGACAGAATACCATTTTTGCCCATCAGTTTGGCAAAGTTTTAAAAAACTGAGTCTATCCTCTGTTGTCCGGGCATGTGGAGAACTAAGCCCCCTCTCATACATTGTTGGTAGTGGCACAAGTTGGTACAGCTTTTTGACAGCAATTTTCAAGTTTTATCAAACCCTCAAAAATATGTGATGTGTTTGAGCTTACTAGTTAATAGTTAACTTCAAGAAAAATAACCAATCCTATAACCTCTGTGTAGAATGCTATTCTGATAGTGATAAATATAAGCAACCTAAATATTTTAAAACAGAGGGTTGGGCAAATAAGTGATAATCTTTCCATACACTGGAATCCTGAATAGTCACTCAATTATAATTGGAGGAATATTTAACAAGAGAACTATTTATTTCAAATAGTAGGCCCTCCATCCATATATATATATATATATATATATAGTTAACTTCAATATATATATATATATATATACATATAGTATAATCCCATATTTGTCAAGAAAATAGGAAAAAATAGGAAGTATATATTCTACAATGATTATCCCTACATGATGGTTTTAACTTTTTATATTATGAGTTTTCCCACTTTTCCAGATGAAGTTTGATTATCTAATAAAAATATCAATAGTCTATTTATAAAAGAGTGAGGGCAAAGAAAAAAATCTAGTATTTATAACAAATGTAAAGGAAGAGGTATAAATACAAAATACAGGAATAGAAACCTGGACCCAGTGATGTCTGTAGCTAGAAATAGTAAGAATGCCATATGACTTATTCTACCCAGCTGCCCCTGGCAGACATCTCAAATTGAAGCATAGTGCAATGTAAATAGAAATTTAGAGTTTTGTGGCTGCTCCAGAGAGATGACCTAAGTATTTGGCATTTAGAAAGATTAGGTAACAAAACTCAAATCACAGATAGTATAGAGGCTCTTTGAAAAGAAGTGGCTAAAATTTAAATATGTGTATTTTGGGGGGTTACAGCTGGACTTTGTACACCAGACAGAGGCCCATAGAGAGGGTTCCCCAAATTTCAGGAGTCAGATGCTCAAAATACAGCTAGTCTAGGTTTCACTTGGATTTCCACGAGAAAGAGAAAATGAGAACGCCATCAACGTATCCCAAAGCATTCATTGTTCATGCTGTTTCCTTTCCAATCCTTTTGGGCTGTGGTCTTGTAACCTCTACAGAGTCCATTTATCACTGCAAAATGTGTCGACTTCCTAAGGTACTGGACTTTCCATACCCGAATCACAGCTGTCGTACATCACCACCTACCTTTCTCTTTGTGCACATTTCTTTTTCATGGTTGATTAAACATTGATGAAGGTGGAGGTACCACCTTACGTTTCTTTCTGTCACCCTATCTAAGCACAGTGTGGGTCTCCACATCACTGCTGAATGAACAGATAATTTTAAAATTCAGGAAGAAGTACCTGCCTAGGCAAGTACAGAAAATATGAAACATGAGCTGAGCTTCGGTCTGGCAGAGAACGCTGGCTCATTGGTTTTTTTTTTTTTTTTTTCGGCTGCAGGGAAGGAGCGAACTGTGGCTCAAGCAACGGCACCGCGGACTCTGTTTTTGAACAGGTCCGCCTACAGTCACGTGGCGCAAGTATGTATGCATTTCTCTAGGATTGCTCTGCCACTTTCTTATGGTTTAGGGAAATGCGCTTTTCATAAGACTCTCTTGTATGTGTTTCAGGTGCAATGACCACAGATGCAACGGCATCTCCATCCCGGGACTTCGAGGCTTCGGGTGGAGACGTGTCTAGAGGGGTCTTGTATGCACTCTTATGTGTAACGCTCCTCAAGTGCTTCAGTTATTTATTTTTCTTATTTATATCACAGATCTACATATTTTACTTATGATAAAGTCCCTTAGCTCTTTTTTAAAAAAACTCTTAATTATTATATCCTGATGCATTAGAGCCACAAATTATGTAAGACTAGTGCTATGTGAGTATTTTCTCACTCATGAAACCCTTCTCCGTCATTACTTCATGTGTTTCCTTTGGTAAACAAGCTCCATTTGAAGTAGCATTATGACATTGACCTTAAGCTCTTCTGGGATTGTTTTTAAAGCACTTTCTTAATAGATACTTTTAGATATGAATGAGAAGAGTTATTTTCTGCTACATGTGAGTGTCAGACGTTAATGAGAAGTGATTCTGTCTCTTATTTTATCTTTGCCACTTTAGGTATATCTATGCAAAAAGGGGGAGTAGGAACCATGTACCAAATTGTGCTAAGTACTGGATAAGATGATAATGAGCAAGAGTAGGCCTGGGAGCCCAGGAAGCATACAGTCCCAACTCTCAAAGGGTTGGGGCAAGAGTGACATTGACAAACATTAATAAGCTGGAGAAGATATTGGAAGAGATATAAGTTGTGAGCTGCAGGCTACAAATATGAGACTCTAGAAATTGTTTCCTAAAGGCCTATTAAAATCTGCCAAGATCCTTTGACTGAAAGTTTGTCAGTCAAACTGACTGAATAATGTCAGTTGATTTCAGGATCTCCCATAACCCAGGCAGAAATAAGAACTCTTTGTTGTAAATGGAGACAAATTTTGGGAGTGAAGTGGAAAGGGATCAACAAAAGCTGTGGAAGTTGACTTTATGACTGGCAGATGCTGAATACCTGGCAATTTGGGAAAAATCGTTGATGCTATTGTAATATATGCTTGAATAAATATTTCTTGTATAGATGGACTACATTTATGAAGATGGAAGAGGTTAAAGAAGAAAATCTCACAAGAATAGTTAAGCCTGTTTGGGCCTAACCACATACCGCATTTTGATTGGAAAGGATTATAGATGTTGCAGATTATTCTCACTTGCTCTTTCACCTACAGAGAGGTCTCCGATTTGATCACCTATGTAGCAGACCTGCATTTCAACAAGCAGAAATTAGAGGAGGAAAATAATAAGCTTAAACTGGCGTTAGAAACCTTGGAAGAAGCTAACAGTCAGTTGTCAGAGGATTGTACTGAATTGCGCCTTCAGATAAAAAGGTGAGCCACAGGCGGTTACTGCTTGCTGGGAACTTTATTTAGTATATTTTTAGTATATTCACAAGTGTACGCAATCATCACTATGATCCAGTTCATCACTCCAAAAGAGAAACCCCATAGCCATTAGCAGTCACTCTCCATTTCTCTCTCCCCTTAGCCCCCAGCAGCCACTAATCTACTTTCTCTCTGTGTGGATTTGCCAATCTGGACATTTCATATAAATGGAATCATATAATATTTGACCTTTGTGTCTGACTTCTTTTACTTAACATAATGTTTTCAAGGCTAGCTTGTATCAGTATTTCATTCCTTTTTATGGCTGAATAATATTCCATTGAATGGATGCACCACCGTTGTTTGTTTATTTTCCAGGGTACGGACATTTGGGTTATTTCCACTTTTTGAATATTACAAATACTGCTGCTTTGAACAATTATGTACAAGTTTTCATGTAAACATAAGTTTTCAGTTTTCTTGGGTATACACTTTGTAGAATTGCTGTGTAGTGGCCTATACATAGCATTTTGCAGAAATGCCAAACTGTTTTCCAAAGAAGCTGTACCATTTTACATTTCTACTAGCAATATTTGTCACTTCTCTTCTAGTAATGGTGTTCTTTATGTCATTCAAGGTAGGGTTGCCTATATAAAACCAGTATGCCTATAGGCTAAGTGTGAACCTATCCAAAGTTTTTGGTGGTTTGGAAGTTCCCATGCTAAGTATTATGAGAGATTCATTGATGAGTCAAATTTAAGATGTGCTCTCAGGGAGTCTATAACCTAGAAAAATGGTAAGAAAATCTGTGACCTTAGCTTAAGATAAAAAGGGATAAGGACCTAGGAGCCATACCACATTAAGTGTCAAACCCTGGTAAAACAGGTTGTGGGGAGAGCTTGAGCATCAGGTAAAAAATGGCAAGTGTCTCCCAAAGTCTGTATTTACAGACATAGATGCTAAAACTGAATAGAAAAGTTCTAAGTTAACTTGAAAAGCCAGTAAAACATTCTGATTTGGCCCCTTATCATCAAAATTTTTACCCAGCTAGTCCACAGCCTCCAAGCCATTCTATAAAATAAAAAAATATGCTTACTTCATTCTCCATTCCACAATTGGCTTATTTATTACTTATTTGAAATATAATAATTTAAAGTTTCTTTTAAAAAAACTCTGCCTTGGACAAATGTGCCAGTCATGGTTTTTGGTAAAAACTGGAAGCTGACTCTACTTAGCTTAAGCGATAGGGAAATGTATTAACAAGGAATTGGGTAACTCAAAGAATGGCCAGAGAATCTGGTGGGCAGCCAGAATGCCAGTGTCTACAAAACCAATTCTTGGCACCATCTTCCTACCCCTGACTCACTGAAAAGAGCCTCTGTTTCCTTGAGGCACTCACAGCATATTTTTGCTATTGTGAAGTGGTCCCATCATAGTATAATTTGCCTTCTATGTTAACTGTGACCCTGTTAACATGAGAACCTGGTTACTCTAGCGCCGAGTAGCATGTCTGCTGTAGATGACCCCTCCCATCCTCCCAGTTGTCTGCCTGCCAGAAACCTTTGTCTCCTTCTTCAACCTTCATGTCTAAGTTATATACCAAGTCCTGTTAATTTCGCCTCCCTCAAGTCTTTCCAGTAGATTTACTTCTTTCTGTCCCTCTATCTGCCACTTGGCTGAAGGTGACATCACCTTTCACCTGGATCACCACGGCAGCCCCTCATTGGTCTCCCTGCCTTTTCTGCGGTCAACCAGCAGGAGTGATCTTCCTAAATGCCAGTCTGAACGTCACACCCATGCTTTGAACATTTCCATGGGTCCCTACTGTATTAGGGACAAAATCCAGATTCCTTCATTTGCTTTGCAAAGGCCTTCGTGATGGGGCCTCTGTGGCCTTATCTCTACCTCCCATTTTCTGTTCTGGGCTCCAACAATCTCTAATTGCTTGCAGGCCCTCAATAAGCTTCTCTTTGTTCCCTCCTTCACTCCCTTCCTCATGACCTAAGCTATCAGCCTTTCACACAGTATCTGCAGAATGTGGATTCACTGCAGCCTTGGTTTTTATCACACTGTGTTGTAGTTATGATGATGTAGTTGTGATACTGGGAGGGTAGAGTTCTCAGGACTGGGTTCCTTTTTGGTTTCCTCAATGCCTAGCATGTCTCCCACAGTATTGGAGCTCCGTAAATATCTGTTGAAGGATCAATGCAGTATCTTAGTAAGGAAAGAAACTGTAGGCTTTGAGACCTTGCTCAGTAAATAATTTATAATCTAGTGGGAGTACAAATAGAAAATTCCATGATACGGATTACCATAATTCATTTAATAGGTTTCCTTTTTTTTGGCCATTTAGGTTATTTCCAATGCTCTATTATTGCAAGCAATGCTATAATAAACTTTTAAAATGAAATACATAAAACTGTTTGTGAATATTTGTTTGGTTGTCACCTCCTTTATTAGTATGTGACCCCTGTTTGCCCACCATCATAGGCTACCTTGCAAGCTACAGCACAGGAAACATGGTATTATTCAATAAATATCTGTGGAATTGCATTAACTAATATTACATCTTATTAGGACAAGGCATGAGCCATGTGATTCCACCAGTGATGGATTTCAAAGGGTGTCCCCCAATCTTTATCTTCAGGGATATGTTTATTTCCTCTGTCCTTCCCTCATTGCTCTCCCCAAAATGCCTTTCTTTCCTGAGATCTGTAAAAGATTATGGGTATATTTTTACTATTGTTGGCATCTGGTTTAAGCCTTTAGTGGTTTTCAGCTTGGGTCCAAAAATAGTTCTTGGCTTTACTTAGTATCTTTGACAGTTATATTTGAGGTTTCGCTCGTTGCCTTCTTACCCCCACCCCCACAGTGCCCACCAGGCTATTATGAGAACAAATCTGTTAAAAGAAGAACTGGAGGAACTGAAAATTAGTATGAATGCTTCAGAGGAGCAGAAGACCACGATCCTAGCCCAGAACAAACAATTGGTAAGTCATCCACATACTTCGAAATTGGCACATAGTTGACGTAACTGGAATCCAGGCGGGCTTATTTGGAGGCAAAAATCAGAAATCAGTAAGCTGATTTTTTAGAAAAATAAAGGCAGGTAGGATTAAAAAATGTGTTTGCCTGTCCAACCAAGATAAAAATTCTTTGTAAGTTAGTCATTTTCACAATGGTTCATGAAGATCTAGGGGATCTCTGGAAAGCCTCCTGAGGTTGATAGGTGAATTCATAAATACCTGATGTAAAAACCATTTAAATTTTAAAAAGTCTCTGTCAAACTTTTCCCTTGTTCTCAGTAGTTACTGATGATCCCTAAGAGGCTCCATAAATGAGTCCTTAAGCTAAATAAGCACAGTCTTGCAATTTTCAGAGCAAAACATTATTTAGGCTAAGCTTTAACTCAACTGCCAGATAAATCATTTTTCTTGAGAACATTATTACCTAGAGCTTTAGCTGTAATCTTTAAAATCCTGATATTCTAGCACTGCAAACAACGGCGGGAGTCAGCTGAAAGTCATTCAAAATCATTTATTTTTAGGTCTGTAAGTCATCAGGAGACTTGGGTTCCCTGCCTGTGTCATTGTGACCCTTCTGCAGTCAACACAGCTTAGCTTTTGCCTCAATAGTTAAATGTGGGACAAGTCTCATGAGTGTCAGGGAACCCTGCAAGTCCCTGTGAATATGTTTCAGGAAGGACTCAAGTAGGGACCACCAGGAGCTTCTTCACGGAGACCACGTAGAGAAACGGTCAAACTCCCACCCTTGGGAGTCACATTGCCAGCATTTAAGTTCTGACTCCAGGGATGTTCATACAATTTAAACAGTTGGCTGTTCACACCATCCATATAATCCCTTCAAGCCTCTGTGCCCTCATGTGTGACATGGGAATGAACTACCGTAGGGCTGGAGGGTTAAATGAGTTCATATATGTAAAGCATGAACTGTACATATTTTACAATGTCTTCTTTCCTCTTGTGGCTCAATAACATTAGCTGCTACTGCTAACAGGGCAGAGTCCTGTATATACAATCCTAATCTTTCACATTTTATAGTGTTTCATGATTTCAAAAGAATTGTTAATATTTCAGTTTAGTCATCATAGACATTCAATGAGGTAGAACAGAACTTGCTGTTCTTCATTTAAAAAAATTAAAAGAGTTATAGGTAAAATCCAGAGATGTTTTGATTATTCTAAGTCAATTGTCTAATTCATGGTGAAGCTAGAATTGAACCCAGGTCTTGTGATTCCAATTACATAGTGTGTGTGTTCCTTTGTTCTTATACCATTGACATCCTAGCCTGAGATGTTTTCCCTTTTATTTCTATAGTGTAAAGGTAATATCTGTCTACTCTATAAAAATAAGGAAATGCATATTAAAAAAGAAAAAATAAAATCCCACAGAATCCTTCCCTTCTCCTATCCACAAGATTTACCATTAACATTTTGGCATACATATATCCTGTCCTGGAATACTTTTTTCTTCTGATGGCTCTGAATTTGGGGCTCTTAATTATAAAATAGTTTTTGATATTAACATGTTCTCATAAAGCTGAATCAGGGAATATCCACAGCTTCAAGGAGGAAGCTTGTAGTCTATGATTTCAAGGTGCTGTTTAAATAGATGTGTTCACACTACCTGTTATAAGTGGATGGTGGTAAAGTTGCAGGGAAAGAAGCCAGGCTGTTCCTTTTCTTTTTGTTGTCTTTCCCTTGCTAACCGCCATAGTTAGATTGAATCAAGGAGAAGAGTGACTTCTCACAGATGCCAAAAAGCTGCTAGCCAAAGGCTTAACCCAATGTTCAGGAAATGTTCAGACCAGGCCTGTTGCTGATGTCAATGCTAAATTTAAAGTTGATTAAGGAGAAGAATTTGAATAACTTTGAAGGTAAATATGTGGTACTTAATAAGCTTCTTAAATACTTTTAAATTACTTTTCTCAATGAATCAGGAGACAGAAAACCGGGCCTTGATTCTTGAGATTCGGGTTCTCCAAGAAGAGGTATGTTGACATCATTAAACACGAGCACAGATAAACATATTGAAATCATACAGTCATGGTCTGATCCTGTGTGAAATAGAAATCATGTGACTATCGGTTTCTTGTGGGCCAAAGGCCAGGTTGCTTTGTCAGATGACAAGGGAAAAAGAGTGGATAGGATTTGCAGGTCTAGACATAAATATGTTACCATCTTTGTAATTATCTGTGGAAGAAATGGATTCAAGAAGTTCAGATTTAAGATGAAATTAACCTACCTAAAAAGAGGGCAAATCAAGAAGGAAAATGTAGTCATTATCTAATAATTTTCCATTATTATCCCACTCAAGTAGGTGGCAAAAATCTTGAGTCTAAGACCCAGATCTTAAATTCACTGAAATGCTGACATTGAAAAAGCCATTTGTTGTTTCAGGTTTATACAAATTACCTACAGTTATTTTGGTGATTAAGATATTGCATGTGAAATCATTTGATTAGCCATAATATGCCTCATATAAGTTAGGAAATATTAGTAAAATCTCTAAAAAAAACAAATGCTGGGCAATCCATTTTTTAAGCAACAGAATTAAAGCATTGAAAGAGCAAGTAATAAAACTACTAGTAAGTTACTATTTTGGAGGTAACTCTCCGGAGGAACCTTTTGAATGTTAAGGATTAGGCACAGTTTTTTTATTTGGGCTTTATGTAAATTTATCAGGGGTATTTATTAAGCTCTGATGAATAGTCTGGGGAGTTATTCAAAATATGGGCCAAGTGGGCATTAAAAAAATTTCATAGTGGGTTGGAAAGGAAAATTAAAGGGGAGGAAAAATCCTTTCATTAGATTCAGATGTATTACAGCTACAAGGCCAGGATTTTGTGAAATTAGTTCTTTACAGTTAAGCTCCCAATGTAAGTTATTTTTCTCTACATATGTAGAATGATTGACTAGCATTAAAGAATTGTAGCAAGCCCGTTTAGAATTGAGATGGAAGGAGATTGAGAGCCCTTCTCATGAGGTAGTATTGCAATTAATGATTCACATTAGAAAAGGCATATATATATATATATATATATGTCACTGCTCACTAAGCTTCCTTTAGGAGGTAAAAATTAGATGCATGTGAAGAGTAACAGCATGAGGGTTTGACTAGTTACTTTCATTCCTTTATGTATTTAGCACATATTCGCTGGGAGACCTCTATGAGCTAGGCACTCTTCTAGATGCTGAGCATACAAGCTTAAGCAAAATAGCCCACATGGAGCGTGCTTGTTAGATGGTGATAAGTGAGTGCCATGGTGGAAAGAAATGCAGAAAACAGAACTGCGGGGGAATGCAACTTAAACCAGGGTGCTTAGGAGAAGTAGCACTGTGAAGTCAATCATTTGGTTACAACTGGCAAGGAGCTTTATCTGTGGCGGAGTGTTCCAGGCAGAGGAAACAGTAAGCTCTCAGTCCACAGGCTGCAGCCTGTCTGCGAGGCCAGCGTGGCTGCAGCAGAAGGCACAGTGGCAAGAGCTGCAGGGCAGCAGGTGGAGGGTCTCATCTAGGCTTTGCATGGGCTCTGGCTGTTTGCAGAGGGAGACGGGAGCTGGTGGACAGTTTTGAGCAGAGGAGTAACGTGCTCCAGTTCCTGTCGTAACAAGACGGCTGTGGCTGCTGGGTTTAGAATTATCAGTAGTGAGCAAGGGAAGAGGCAGGGAGACCAACCGTGGGAATAATCTAGGCCAAAGAGGATGGAGGCTTAGACTGAAGCAGTAACAGTAAACGTGGGGAGAAGTGGTCAGGTCAGCAAATGCTTTGTACTTTATTCAAAGGCATTTGTTTTCTATTCAGGTAATGTGGAGGTTCTGGCTGTTTATAAATCTCAGTGAAATAAAAGAAAAGTCATCAGTTGAGAGGGAGGGTGATGGGGGAGGTATTAGAAGTTCAAGGAGAGAGAGGGGATGAAATAAGCCAGGAGCTGGTGAACTTTTTGTTAAGGATCTGATAGCAAGTATTTTTAAGCTTGCCTGACTAAAAAGCCTATGTTGCAATCACTCACTCTTGCCACTTTAGTGGGAAAGAAGCCATAAACAATACAAAACTGGGCACAGCTATGTTCTAATAAAACTTTATTTACAAAACCAAGTGGTCAGCCAGTGTTGGCCTGTGGGGGTGAGGTGGGGAAGCTGGTGTGGTTTGCAAAGGGGACTGAGTTCATGGGAAGGTAGAAGGATAAGTAGGGAGGGGTAGGATCAACGGATTACAGGCTCCAGGGGCAACTGAGGGTGTTGCTGCTCAAAGAAGCAATCTGAAAAGATGAGAAATGTATTTGAAGGTATGACAAGGGAGTGAGTGGCCGAGGTGCAAGGGAAGATAAGAAGGGACTAGAAAGAGTATCCCTGGACAGTCATAGGAAAGGGATCGTGGTATTTTTGGACAGAGTCTAAAGTTTCATCCCTTAGCTTAAAATGGATTTTGATGTTAATGATGAAAATACCACTTCCTAAAAAAGACTGTGATGTTCTCTTATTTTTTTTGGTCTGCCTCTCAGAGTACTATCTTATTTTATATTAGAATACTAAAAACATTACGGATATATACGAACTGGAAAAGAAGATTGAGGAGCTCTCTGAAACCGAGACAGAGCGCCAAGTAAGCTCTTCCCACATGCTGGTAAAATATTGTCTTCTGTCAAACCCTCTTATTCTATGAAGGGGTATAGAACTCATTGAAATGATAACCTTTGGTTATGAAATTTGAAATTTGTATTCCTCAAGATGTCTGAATTATATAAAAGGCAGTTTCTATTTTTTTTTTTTTACTTACAGCTTTGCTGATATATAATACACATGCCGTAAATCCACTCAAATTATAAAGGTTGGTGGTTTTGAGCATATTCAGAGAGTCATGCAACTGTCCCCAAATCAATTTTAAGACATTTTTATCATCCCCAAAGAAATCCCTTCAGCAGTTAATCCCCATGTCCCCGAACCCTAGGCAAACACTAATCTACTTTCTATTTCTATAGATTTACCTATTCTGGACATTTCATATCAGTGGCATCATACATGTTATGTGAACTGTTGTGATTGGCTTCTGTCACTGACAATAATGTTTTCAAGGTTCATCCATGTTACAGCATGTATCAGTACTTCATTTCTGTTTGTTGCTGAACAACATTTGATTGTATGTATGTACCACATTTTGTTCATTCATCAGTTGATGGACATCTGGGCTGCTTCGACTTTGAGTGTTAAGAATAATGCTGCCATGAGCTTTCATGTTCAAGTTGCTGTGTGGGCATGTTTTCACTTTTCTTCGTGAACACCTAGGAATGGCATTACTAGGTCAAATGATAACCCATTTTTTAAATATTGTTTTATTGTAGTGGCAACTTCTAATTTAATAGTGTCTGATTTTGTGAATCCCTAAGTCAGGAAAAATTTCAGCTGTTGTACCTTCTTAACGCAGAAAATGAGGGGAAATGGGAAAATATCCTTGATGAATTAAGGACTGATAACTTACAGAAATGATTTCTATTTAGGTTGCATCTAAAAGGCCAACATTTAGTATGTATTTTTGCTATGTCTACCATATGTTCTAATCAGGAAACAGAAGAAATTCGGGAATTTATGTCGTGCTTATTGATGTTTCTAATGGCTTATTTGAGCAATATTTTTTGTGGTAGTGTATGTCTGAAGTGATGTTCTTAAATTTTATATCTAATATATGGAATTATCAAGTTTCCTAGGAAAAGGCCAGATTTCACGTGTGTATATGTAATATGTATATTGTAGCAGTTATAATTTACACATTCAATTAATTTTATTCTAAGATGTCTTTGAAAAATGCAACTGTCATAAACTAGTGGACAGAGCCAGAAGGCATGGGTTCAAATCCTGTCTTCCCGACTTAAAGGCTTTATAACCTCAAGCAAGTAGTCAATCTTTTAAGTCTCAGTTTTCTCATCTGCTAACTGGGTGTGACATATTCTACCTAACCCACAAGCTTGTGGGAAATTCAAATGAGATGATTATGTCAAGATACCTTTAGAACTATAAAGGGATATCAAATATATATGATTATAACAATGATTCTACTTCTGACCATGCTAATTGTAAACTGCGGGGGAATGCAACTTAAACCAGGGTGCTTAGGAGAAGTAGCACTGTGAAGTCAATCATTTGGTTACAACTGGCAAGGAGCTTTATCTGTGGCGGAGTGTTCCAGGCAGAGGAAACAGTAAGCTCTCAGTCCACAGGCTGCAGCCTGTCTGCGAGGCCAGCGTGGCTGCAGCAGAAGGCACAGTGGCAAGAGCTGCAGGGCAGCAGGTGGAGGGTCTCATCTAGGCTTTGCATGGGCTCTGGCTGTTTGCAGAGGGAGACGGGAGCTGGTGGACAGTTTTGAGCAGAGGAGTAACGTGCTCCAGTTCCTGTCGTAACAAGACGGCTGTGGCTGCTGGGTTTAGAATTATCAGTAGTGAGCAAGGGAAGAGGCAGGGAGACCAACCGTGGGAATAATCTAGGCCAAAGAGGATGGAGGCTTAGACTGAAGCAGTAACAGTAAACGTGGGGAGAAGTGGTCAGGTCAGCAAATGCTTTGTACTTTATTCAAAGGCATTTGTTTTCTATTCAGGTAATGTGGAGGTTCTGGCTGTTTATAAATCTCAGTGAAATAAAAGAAAAGTCATCAGTTGAGAGGGAGGGTGATGGGGGAGGTATTAGAAGTTCAAGGAGAGAGAGGGGATGAAATAAGCCAGGAGCTGGTGAACTTTTTGTTAAGGATCTGATAGGAAGTATTTTTAAGCTTGCCTGACTAAAAAGCCTATGTTGCAATCACTGACTCTTGCCACTTTAGTGGGAAAGAAGCCATAAACAATACAAAACTGGGCACAGCTATGTTCTAATAAAACTTTATTTACAAAACCAAGTGGTCAGCCAGTGTTGGCCTGTGGGGGTGAGGTGGGGAAGCTGGTGTGGTTTGCAAAGGGGACTGAGTTCATGGGAAGGTAGAAGGATAAGTAGGGAGGGGTAGGATCAACGGATTACAGGCTCCAGGGGCAACTGAGGGTGTTGCTGCTCAAAGAAGCAATCTGAAAAGATGAGATGTATTTGAAGGTATGACAAGGGAGTGAGTGGCCGAGGTGCAAGGGAAGATAAGAAGGGACTAGAAAGAGTATCCCTGGACAGTCATAGGAAAGGGATCGTGGTATTTTTGGACAGAGTCTAAAGTTTCATCCCTTAGCTTAAAATGGATTTTGATGTTAATGATGAAAATACCACTTCCTAAAAAAGACTGTGATGTTCTCTTATTTTTTTTGGTCTGCCTCTCAGAGTACTATCTTATTTTATATTAGAATACTAAAAACATTACGGATATATACGAACTGGAAAAGAAGATTGAGGAGCTCTCTGAAACCGAGACAGAGCGCCAAGTAAGCTCTTCCCACATGCTGGTAAAATATTGTCTTCTGTCAAACCCTCTTATTCTATGAAGGGGTATAGAACTCATTGAAATGATAACCTTTGGTTATGAAATTTGAAATTTGTATTCCTCAAGATGTCTGAATTATATAAAAGGCAGTTTCTATTTTTTTTTTTTTTACTTACAGCTTTGCTGATATATAATACACATGCCGTAAATCCACTCAAATTATAAAGGTTGGTGGTTTTGAGCATATTCAGAGAGTCATGCAACTGTCCCCAAATCAATTTTAAGACATTTTTATCATCCCCAAAGAAATCCCTTCAGCAGTTAATCCCCATGTCCCCGAACCCTAGGCAAACACTAATCTACTTTCTATTTCTATAGATTTACCTATTCTGGACATTTCATATCAGTGGCATCATACATGTTATGTGAACTGTTGTGATTGGCTTCTGTCACTGACAATAATGTTTTCAAGGTTCATCCATGTTACAGCATGTATCAGTACTTCATTTCTGTTTGTTGCTGAACAACATTTGATTGTATGTATGTACCACATTTTGTTCATTCATCAGTTGATGGACATCTGGGCTGCTTCGACTTTGAGTGTTAAGAATAATGCTGCCATGAGCTTTCATGTTCAAGTTGCTGTGTGGGCATGTTTTCACTTTTCTTCGTGAACACCTAGGAATGGCATTACTAGGTCAAATGATAACCCATTTTTTAAATATTGTTTTATTGTAGTGGCAACTTCTAATTTAATAGTGTCTGATTTTGTGAATCCCTAAGTCAGGAAAAATTTCAGCTGTTGTACCTTCTTAACGCAGAAAATGAGGGGAAATGGGAAAATATCCTTGATGAATTAAGGACTGATAACTTACAGAAATGATTTCTATTTAGGTTGCATCTAAAAGGCCAACATTTAGTATGTATTTTTGCTATGTCTACCATATGTTCTAATCAGGAAACAGAAGAAATTCGGGAATTTATGTCATGCTTATTGATGTTTCTAATGGCTTATTTGAGCAATATTTTTTGTGGTAGTGTATGTCTGAAGTGATGTTCTTAAATTTTATATCTAATATGTGGAATTATCAAGTTTCCTAGGAAAAGGCCAGATTTCATGTGTGTATATGTAATATGTATATTGTAGCAGTTATAATTTACACATTCAATTAATTTTATTCTAAGATGTCTTTGAAAAATGCAACTGTCATAAACTAGTGGACAGAGCCAGAAGGCATGGGTTCAAATCCTGTCTTCCCGACTTAAAGGCTTTATAACCTCAAGCAAGTAGTCAATCTTTTAAGTCTCAGTTTTCTCATCTGCTAACTGGGTGTGACATATTCTACCTAACCCACAAGCTTGTGGGAAATTCAAATGAGATGATTATGTCAAGATACCTTTAGAACTATAAAGGGATATCAAATATATATGATTATAACAATGATTCTACTTCTGACCATGCTAATTGTTTTTCTAGGTTTTCAGTTCAATCAATATACATATTTTATCAATTATAGTTAGAAGCCTCTGCCCACAAGCTTGCTTTTGGTTTGAATAAACAGATACATCCTCAGTATATTCACTGCACTAAAAGAAATCTTGAACATTTTAAAACTATGTCATTAAGAGAGGAAAGTCTTCTTTCTGTCCACATGGAGTTCTGTGTCCATGCCCTGTTTAAATTTTCAATTTCACCAAAAATTGAAGACTCTCAATGGTTTCTTATATGAAGTGTGAAAGAGTTGGGAAGGCACTTGGCTGGGGCCAGAGACTTACACCCTAATCAATTCTGTCACTTACTGTGCATGACATTGGGCAAGCCTCTGGATAGTGCCGAGATTCGATTTCCTCACTGGTAAAATGAGGACAATGACCTAGGCCTCTAGGGTTGTAAGAAGCAGACAGGAAAGTTCCTTACAAAGGGAGAAACACATGCATGTTAAAGGTGCTTCAGAAACACGTCTGCCTACTGCAATGACTTTGTGGCACTGTCCTTTACCAAGGCAGCTTCCCAGTGGACTTTCCAACATCCCTTTCTTTTCAGATGCAGTTACACACGTATGAGAACACTTTGCTTGATAAGGATGCAAGCTTGCAGAAGGTTGGTAATGTTCCTGCCATGGAGTCCTGCGGGATTGGCTAGCTCTTTCCAAATCACAAAGGAGATGGTTCTTTGTGTAACTTCACTCTCAGTAAAATATCGATTCTAATATTCTATTGCATGAATATTCTATATATATCTGACATTCTATAAATGTACCTTTATCATACTTCACACAAATATTCCTCTGAGTGAAGAATACTGATTTCTCCAAGTGGGATAAATTTTACCATTTCCTCTCTAAATTCTGGTGTGTGAAACCATTTCTGCAGCATATTAGAGTACCAGGTTACCAGTCATTGGCTAGGTACTCGTGATGCAGTTTTAATTAATGGCAACACCAGTGTGCATGCAGTTCATTCATTTTAGGGATAAGGAAGAATATGTCCCCAAATTATTTTCTACCCTGTTTGATTGATGGATGGATAGGTAATGATCTACATATCCTTGTATCTGCTTACAAAGGATACTGACTGCAGAGATGCTGGTCAGGTTTATGGCTTTAAGACAGGAAGGGCACAGCCTAAGCTAATTAACTTCCACATTCAAAGACAGGGAAGTGAAGAGCAATACTGCTTTCCCTTTCCCTGTAACATTTCAAAGGCATCATCTGTGGCATGTGGAACATTGTACCAGCTTTATCTCTTCATCACAGGTGCTCTGTCCCCGTGTAGTGACACTGTGGCCATGCTGGCTGCTCACTTTCTCCATAACTCTGGGCTTTCCATCGCTTTGCACTCCTGCCCAGCATTTATAGGGTATTGACTGAGCACTTCCCATGTGCCAGGTACTATGCTAGACATGGCATAACACTATAGTCCAGACACTGACTGTACCCTCTGTTCTTGCAGTATAGAACCATGGTTTTAAAAGATTCTGTTTAAACTGGATAAAATTAGATGCCTTAATGATTTATTAGGCATTTCAGGTAGACTGATTTTTTTCTTAAATGTATTGTGATAATAAATACAACTGTGGCTTGGACTTAAGAATCATCTTCCAGGGTTTGATCCCATTGGACCAAGCAAACAAAACATAATGATATGTTAGATATAGATATGCATTTAGGTAACTAGTTTAAGATAACTGCTTTGTTGTCCCATACTTTTTATTTGGTTTTTATCCCAAACACAGACTGGTTCAGTTTTCTGTATGGGATTGGTAGAATCCAATCAATCTAATGAGAGTAGTAGAATGTCTTACCGTCTTTGGGCATTTACAATTCTTCTGTGGCTCAGACTGATAATCTAACAAATGTGATTTGGTGGGCTCATACATTTATTTGCTATTTTCTCTCCTACTTACAGAAGGATTTAAGTATAGAAGAACTTCAGTCAACCATCATAGAGTACAGGAACGTTACAGAGGTATGGCATCAACAGTTCACAGCTTGCAAGGTGGGGTTGTTGAAATGCATATGTAAATCCTCCACTAGGGTAACATGTACGACAAATATATGTGATTCCAGAATTTACGAGGGGATAAAAACAAACTGATTCAGGAGTTACAGCGCCTGCAGCAGGAGCTCCTCGTGTAAGTACAGAGCGAGCGCACACCGGCCCTCTCCCGCACGCCTTTGCCTCGAGTCATTGGCCTCCTGGGCTCCATGCAGTTCCTCATACCTCGTCCTTTTCTTGTGCACCTTTGTAAGTGATATTTTCCCTGCTTTGCTCCCAGAGAACTCCTTCATAACTTTTCCATGACCCTTTTCTCTGACCTTGAGTAGCATAATTCTTTGGAGCGCACGCACAGCAGGCTGTTGCTAGCTCTTTCCTAACCCACATCATCCTATATTATGATCATTTATTTCTGCATATGTGAAATATGCTCATCCAGGAGTCCACAGGAGCCACTCAGATAACAAAAATGAGTAAGGTGAATGGGGTAAGTGTACACACTTACATGACCAGAGTGACAAATGGGAAGAGTTGTTACCTAGATAAAGGCAGGGGGGGCCACTCTGCTGAGCTCCAGCTAATTGTTGCATCAAGAATAAACAGATGGGCCCAGGGTTGCTACATCTTTTCATTTTTTTCAGAAAAGCCAGACATTTAGATTTTTAGTGGAATTTTCTAAATCTTAACCATTGACTCCAATTCTTTAAAAAAAAAAAAGGTGTGGACAATTTGTTTGCAACCACCTAGAGTCACTAATCTGTGTGTCTCCTGAAGGGCAGAGACTCTGTCTTATTTCTCTGTATTGCTAAGTACCTTGCACAATCCTTGGCACATGTGACTGCTTCCTGACTGGTGGTAAACCCTGTTCTGGTGACCTAGAATATAATGGTGGTGGGACACCTAACCAGAACTGACTATTATTTTTTTCCTCCAAGAAATGGGATCCAGTTGACTGTTGGTGGCAAACATAATAGCATCGTCTCTGAAGGAGAAAAATCCCTGCACTGTGAACTCATTCTTGCTCAGTCTTCAGAGGTAGGTAATTGTCATCAAATGGAAATCTTTAAAAATTACCACCCCATGGGATAGCTTACTATTAAGTGAAGGCCTGTAGCTTCCTGACAAGGAACCATGGCGTTTTTGAGGGTTTTAGAATCCAAGTCTAACTAGTCTCTTAGCCTGGAAGAATGGACCTTTTTCAAGTTATGGCTGAAAAATATCATCGGGCTCAAGGATGGGTTTGTGGAGTGTGCCTCCAGTGAATCTGGAGTTTAGAAAGCTCTATATTCTTGATATTTTTCATGATAAATGACCTTCACTGATCCCCGGCCTGGGGTTCTAAACGTAGCAGTAGAGATCCATGAAAAATTTTTCAGTACTTCCACAAATCCCCAAAGTAAATACATCTATCCAAAACAAGGACTCTCAGAAACAACACAAAATGTCTTTACTATAGGACGTAATTGTACCAACCCAATTTAGTGCCACTGATTATTACAGTCTGAACAGAAATGAGCGTTTTTATAGGTTTTGGGTTCAATTTAAAATGACAAAATGAATTATTTTTAAAACCTCTCAGTCTTGTAGGTAGACCCAATTCTTTACAACACGGGAGGAAACAAGCAGAAGCCTTCCTGGGCACACAGTGTTGGGACCCCTCCATACCATCTTCCCTCCTGTGTCCCGCCCAGCTTTGCGTTTGTTATGCCAGGCGGTGCTTTCTTAGCAAATTGCTTTCTTTTCACCACTTTGACGGGCTCTCCATGTCTGTGGATGTTGGGTATGTCAGAACTTCCCTCCCGTTGACAGCTGTGATATGACCTTGAAAGGAGAGGAAGAATGTCTTTGGGGCAAACGCTGTTGGAATTTCTGCCACGGATGCAGGACGACATATGTCGCCGTCCTCTGAAGCTGTCTGAGGCAGCGTTGGACATTCTGCTGAGGGCTGTGCTTCCCTGATATTCTGTTTCAAATACTCATCATTTTACGGTGTTTCTGAAATCAAGCCAAACTGCCAGACTGAGTGAAACAAAGTCCTCTGGGATAATAATGATGTCAGGATGCCAGCTGTAAAGTTCTATCCTACTAGACAGGGGTTACACAGCTGGCGACGTTCTGGCTCCGAGGCTTACCCCGCTGATGGGTGAAGAAGTTTGCCTTCTAATTGGAATCTGGAAATGACAGCTCTCGGACCTTTCTCTAGTGGACAGCAAAAGGAAAGACAAATGTGGTACTGTCATATCTCAAATATGACAGGGGCAGGGACTTTGAGATGAGTGTAAAGAATATGCCTTGTGAAACATCATCTGAGAGTGTCTTCTATGAATGAAAGGGAGCAAAAGAAACCAGTCTGTCTGCAGTGGGATTTATTGGCAACCCCCCACAAAGTTGTTATTTTCTGTGAATTTGTTCACCTTCCCCTATTTTCACAAAATTAGAGCCATACCAGTTGATATTACCCATAGAAATATTATCTGTTTGATGAATGATTTTCCTTACAAATGAATGAATGGTAAGTTGAAGCCATCCCAGAGAGAAAATAGAAACAGCTTTTTGAGGATGTTCCCCTTTTTGATAGGAGCAATCACACTGACCCATGGGCATCCTTTTCATAAAATAAAACTAAAGCATGTTCTTTATTAGAATGACAGAGTTGTGGACATTTTGGTAATTGTTTCAGAACAATGAGACTGAATGTCAGGGCAGTTCAATCAGTCTGTCATCTCTGGACACGATGATGGACCAAGGAATGCTGCTGTTACTGAGAGACCTTGAACAAAAGGGAGTGGAATTCACAGCTATGCTTCAGGAACTGGTATGGTGTGGTGTGTGCATATCATGGTGTTTCACTGGCTAAGAATGTCTGCAGATAACTGACCTATATAGCCTGTTTGCTGAGGACGTGTCTGTGTATTTTTTGAGACCCAAATAAATCCTACTATGAAGATATTTTTCTCAAACCTTCCTGCAGTTAGTTTTCTAGTGTGGGTCAGTCAGGACTAACGGGTTGGCCATTGGATACAGATTGCTTGAGACTCTTTTATCCATCTTCATACTCAGAGGGCTGAAGACATATCTGTTGAACAGCTTCTTTCTAGCCAATGGCTTACCTCTTTCTCCATTTTGAGTTTTGACTAGACACTCTAGAGAAAGCAGAGAACATCTTCATTTGGTATTTCCAGTCCCTTTCACAGTCCTAGTGTGTAGTATGTAGCATTTAGTTCTACAAATGAAAAATCCACGAAATTGCTTGTTTCCTTCTGTTTGAGAGGTGAATGCAAATAGGTTCGGGAAAATGATTCTGTCTGTTAATGTTCAGCATAGACAGAGCATCTGATGAGAGTTACCATCTACACATGGCAACATCCTGGGATAAAGGAAAATCACTGGGTGGCATTAGATGAGAAAGAACTCTTTCCATTCTAGTCTTCCTGAATTACCTACATAGAGAACTCTGGTCTAAATTATTTCTGATATAATAGTGTATGCTTTTCACCTGAATGCCTAGTTGAAGATGTGCAACTCTTTTCTAGCATGAAGAAGTTTCTGAAGTTGAAACCTTCATTTATAACCATTTACAGTGGGTAACAAATACAGAAATTACTGTGGAAGAAAAGTGGGAGAACAAGCTTATTGTAAGTTTCTATATTTTTTTATTTTCTGGTTTTTTCTTGTTTTCTTAACCCAGGTGATACTTCTATGTGGTGCTGTTTCTAAGACCTTCCTGTAGTCTTCAGCTGTCTTGGTCTGATGTGCACAGAGTGTGTGGGGATGGGTGTGAGTGTGCATACGTGGATCAGTGAATGTGGTGAATGTGGGGTGAGGTTAAGTGTGTGTGGGGGTGAGAGTGAGGAAAGAAAGTGAGTATGAGGGAATGCGCTATGTGTTGGAGAAACAAAGAATAAATAAGACTTAATGAAAAAATGCGTTTGAATCCTTGTAAGAGCTGGCTAATCTGTATTTTTCCCACTTTGATAGAATGATTATTGTGCAAAAGAATGAGACTGGCAGTTTCATTATGCCAGAAATTAACACAATATTGGAAAAATGGAAACTTCTTAGGTAACTGTTCCCGGTTGTCAGAAAGGAAGCATGTGAAAAGAGTCTCTTTAATTTTTCCATCAATTATCTCTACTTCTTGACCACCAGACGGTTACCTAACCTCCGTCAGCCCCTAAGTTAAACTAGAGCAAGAAGTAAATTCTGAAAACTCTGGAATATTAATTTCAACCCCTTTGCCAAACCATTTTTAAGTCGCTTTTGCATAAGCTGATCAACATTTTATTTTATTTTTAAATCGTTTTTTATTTAGTGATTTTATTGCATTTTCTTGTCCCATCCTGTTCTGAAGCGATTGTGCTGATTGTTGAAGTTGTCAGGGACCCTCTGATCTCAAGAAAAAAAAAAAAAAGCTCCAATGTAGACAACATGACAGGTACCTAATATGTACTTAGACTGAGATAATCAACCTGAAGGTATTAATATTTGGGCAATTGAGAATTGGTATCTGCTCAATTAGAATTTTAGGGTCTAGTAAGAATAAGTACTATTGAGCTTGGAATGGCCACAGCGTTTTATATTGCTTCTATGTTTATCTATATTGAACATGGAAACAGTGAGTCTGTTTGTGACTTTTCTTGTAGGAATTCAAATGTATCATGGAAGAAAAGCAAACCCTTTGTATACCAATGCTGAACAACTTGGGAAAGCACAGAGAATCTCTTGATAAACAGCTTGTCAAATTGACAGAGATTTTGAAGAGATTCAGGCTGGAATATTTTTCTTTCAGAAAAGAATTTCTTTCCAGGTGATGATCATTTATATATAAGAAACCCATGCTTTCTATACATGACACATTTTTGATTGTGCCATGACATCCAGGTCCTTTTTTTGAGTTGTGCACATTGATTTCAAATGACCCTTTTTTAGGGAAGACATTTTGTCTGAAATTTTTGAACTGTAAAACAATGTGAAATTATATATTAAAAACTGCAAATAGTGGACTTTACAATCTGTGAAAAGCAGACTAGTGACTTACTTTCCTTAGAGAAGGAATTTGGAATTACAGAATATAGAATTCTTTAAACTACAAAGGGCCTTAGAGATCATTTAATAAAACCTTGTAATTTTACAGGGGACTGAAGCATAAGGATATAAAGTGAATTGATCAAGACCTGAGAGTTATTAATGGCAAATCTATGAATCTGTTAGTGGAGGAACTTGATGCTGGGCCAATTGGCTCCTACCCCACTGGCTTCATGTTCCCAATGCCTCACACTGGGGACTAATCAATTAAATTTAAAGTAAAATAAGTCATAGGGAATAGAGGACTCTAAATATAAAGTGATTTACCATCTTATCCTTCCTCTTAGCTTAATTCTTATGATTTGGGGGAAATTCTTAATATTTGTATAGTCTATAAATGGCATACTAAATGAGATCAATCATATATATTTTGTTAATCACTGTTGATATAGCTGCTTGTAGTATTCTAAGCATTCCCTTAAGAAATGCTTTTTGAATGAATGAATGAACATGGGTGTATACTAAATTTGAGTGAAGTTAATAAAGTCAAGACCAAGGTTACTTAAAGAAAATAGCTGAAGAAAGTATTCTATTCCCCCCAAATAAGGAAACTAGATAGCAGAGACAGGTTAATGCCACAAAGAACTCTCAAGAGAGTGTTCTCCTGCCTTCCCTAAGAGGCTCGGAGCCCAGACTTCCCCAGAGGGGTAAAGGTGTGGGGTAAGTGTATGTGCAAGCTCCTTACACAGATACATCTCCACAAAAGGGAGCATTGAAATTATTCTATTTAGCAACCAAGAACTATTTTGAGAGAGACCTATGCTGGAGTCATCTCTAGGTGAATCTTCCATATTATCCTATGAGACATGCAAGCAGCCCAGTTACTAACAGTAGGTGCAATTTGTCAAGCACTCACTTTGTTGGGTGTAAGACTAAGAATACATATATCTCTAGGGAGGTTTAATAACTTATCTGAGGTCACCCAGGTGGGATTAAGGGACAGCAGGACTCATACCTAGATATGTTCAACTTCAGAATCCATCTTCTTTCAACTATTTATCCCCCACCATTTACTTGTTAAAATCTGATCTAATACTCATTAAAAAAATTTCTGGGAACCTGTCATTAGGCAAAATACTACTTACAATGTAAGGAGGGTACCTCCTGCCTTCTAGACATCATTTAAAACAGACAAAACCATATAGAGGTTACACACACAGTGATTTGTCTATGGTTTTTAACCATGAATAATAAAATGAATGGTGTGTTTTATGGGCATGAGAGAGACTATGTTTAGATGAGATAGGATGTATTTATTAAAGGGAAACTTTTAGTGGCTGTTTGCTGAGGAGGAGAAGGCTTCCATTCTGGTGCAAGATACATAGGCTCCAGCACTGAGGAGTGGAAATGAGTGAATGAGGGAAGGGTAGGCAGTGGAAAAGAAAACACAGCGCTATTGGAGAAAAGCATGTCATCATTTGTACAATGTCCAAGTATCAGCAATTTGTCAGGCTTTTTTTTTTCTATAAGGGGATTATAAAAATGAGGCAGAAATACCTGCCTCCACGAAACTAGTGTCTATGAAGGGGCACAGAAAGTGAACATCTAAACATATAATTATATAGGGTCAAGGAGTGATAAATGATAGGAAAGAAGTTAAAGCAAGATAGAAACCCAAGAATGACAGGGGGCAAGAGGACCTAATTTTAGAAAGAATGGCCAGGAAAGGCCTGCCTGAGGAGTAATAAGCTGCATGGGTAGCTGAATGAAGTGAGAGAGGGAGCTATGTGATGATCTCGGGAGTGTTGTAGGCAAAAGAAAGAGCTGGTGCAAAGACCCTGAGGTTGTAAGGAGCTTGGTGTGTTTGAACAGCAGCAAGAGGCCAGCATAGCTGGGTGGAGTAGTACTGGGCAGTGGTAGGAGGTGAGGTCAGAGAGATCAGTATGGGTCAGGCCTGTCGCTTGCAATTTGTGTTCAGGAATTGGGATTTTATTCTGGGTGGGTGGGGAGTTATAAGAGAATTATAAGCAGAGTAGTAATATGACTTGTGTTTTGAAAGATCATGCTGGCTGCTGGGTAGAGAATTGTCTATAAAGGACAAGAGTGAAAGCAGTGGAGCCAGTGAGAGGAGTTTTTTCAATAACCAATTAGAGATCCCAAAATCAATATGCTGGGTTATGACCCATTTAAAAAAAAATAAGTATGAGTCCATTGCATATAGTAAGTGTAAATGTTTTATGAAATTTTCCTTCCAGCTTAAACAGCAATATGAAAGTATATTAAAGTATACCATTTTCTAGTAAAGGCAAATATATGGACAAATACAGAATACTATAATGCTACAACAGTGATGGGTAAGTCAATTTTAGAATAAAAGTTAAAAAACAAAAGTACTATAAATAGGACTATAAAAATATGTTAATATAGCAATATGTAAATTGTGACCTAAATAACAAAGTAGGGGATGAAGTAAAAATGTAGTTTTTTATATCTGATTGAAGTTGTTATCAGCTTGAAATGGATGGCTATAATGATATTTTATGTAAGCCCTATGATAACCACAAAGAAAATGCCTCGAGAAGACACATTAAAGGAATCAAAACATATCAATACAAAAAAAGAAAATGAAACACAAAGGAACATGGGAAGAGATGACAAGAGGGACAAAAGAACAAGATGGAAAACAACAAAATGGCATTAGTAAGTCCCCCCATCAATAATTACTTTAAAAAATTCCCCAATTGAAAGATATAGAATGGCTAAATGGATTTAAAAAACAAGACCTAACTATATGCTGTCTATAATATATGTCATTATTCTCTTATAGAGACTTCCTTTAGATTTAAGAACACACATAGGCTGAAAGTGAAGGGATGGAAAGACACTCCATTCAAAAGCTAACCAAAAGAGAGCAGGGTGGCTATATGTACATCAGATGAAATAGACTTAAGTCAAACTGTCACAAGAGACAAGGACATTATATTGATAAAAGGATCAATTCACCAGGAAGATATCACAATTACATATATATACCCAACATCAGGGTACCTAAATATATAAAGCAAGCATTGACAGAACAGAGACAATAGATGGCAATATAATAATAATAGGAGGAGACCTCAATACCCTACTTTCAATAATGGTTAGAACATTGACACATAAGATCACTAAGAAACAGCACACTTGAACAATACTATAGACCAAATGGACCTAACAAGATAAATGCAAATGAAAACAACATATCAAAACCTATGGCATGCAGCAAAAGTCATACTAAGAGGGGAGTTAGCAGTGATAAATGCTTAGACTAAACAAAAAAATTCTCGAACAACCTAGCTTTACACCTCAAAAAACTAGAAAAAGAAGAACAAAGTTAGCACGAGGAAGGAAATAATGAAAATTAGCGATAAAATCAGATAGAGAATAGAAAAACTATTTAAAAATTTTAAAAATTGATGAAACTAAAAGTTGGTTATTTGAAAAGATAAAATTGACAGACCTTTAGCTAGACTAAGAGAAAGAGAAGATTCAAAATCAGAAATGAAAGAAGAGATCTTACAACTAATACCACACACACACACAAAAGGATCATAAAACACTAGTAGAACAATTATATACCCACTGGTTGGACAGCCTTGAAGAAATGGATAAATTCCTAGAAACATTCAATCTCCCAAGACTGAATCAGGAAGAAACAGAAAATCTGAATGCGCCAACAACTAGTGAGGAGATTGAAGCAGTTTAAAAATCTCTGAACAAAGAAAAATCCAGAACTAGATGGCTCTGCTGGTGCATTCTACCAAACATCTAGAGAAGATGCACAACAATCCTTCAGAAAATTTTTGAAAAACCTGAAGAGGAGGGACCACTGCCTAATTCATTTTGAGATCAGCACTATCTTGACATGAAAACCAAAGGCACTACAGGAAAAGAAAACTATAGGCCAATATCCCTGATGAATATAAATGCAAAATTCCTCAACCAAATACTAGCAAATTACTTTCAACATCACATTAAAGCAGTCATACACCATGACAAAGTGAGATTTAGCTCTGGGATGCAAGGATGTTTCAACATACACAAATAAATTAATGTGATACACCACATTAACAGAATGAAGAATATCACATATCTAAACTGATGCAAAAAAAGCATTTCACAAGATTCAACACACAAATAGTCAAAAAACTAGAAATAGAAGGAAACTATCTCAGCATAATGAAGACCATATATTAAAAGTCCACAGCTAACATACTCAATGGTGAAAGACTGAAAGTTCTTCCTCTAATATCAGGAACAAGGCAAGCGTGCACACTCTCGCCATTTCTATGCAACATGGCACTTGAAGTCTTAGAACAATTAAGTGAGAACAACAAATAAAAGGCATGCACCCTGGAAAAGAAATAAAATCATCTGTTTGCAGATGATATGATCTTAAATATAGAAAACCCTTGACTCCACAAAAAGCTGTTAGAACTAACGAACTCAGCAAAGGTACAGTGTACAAAAATCAGTGGTATTTTATACACGAACACTGAATTATCTGAAAGGAAACCGAGAAGAAAAAGTCCCATTCAAAATAACATTCAAAAGAATAAAATACTTCAGAAGAAACTGAGAAAATTTGTATACTGAAAGGTATAAAATACACTGAAAGAAATGAAAGAAGTTGCAAATAAATGGAAAGATACCTTCTATTCATGGTTTGTAGGACTTGATATTGTTAAAATATCCATAGTACCCAAAGTGATCTACAGATTCTGTAAAACTCCTAAAAGAAAATTTGGCAAAAACTTCACAACATTGGTCTTGGCAATGATTTCTTGTGTATGATACCAAAAGCACGAGCTACAAAGGAAAAGATAGCCAAGTGGGTCTATGTCAGACTAAAAAGCTTTTGCGCAACAAAGGAATTAACGAGAGTAAAACGGTAAACTTTGGAAAGGAGAAAATGTTTTCAAATCATGTATCTGGCAAAAGGTTAATATTAAAAATATATAAGAAATACCTACATCTCAATAACAAAACAAAAATTAATTTAAAAATTAGCAAAGCACGTGAATAGACATTTTTTCCAAAGTAGACATACAGTTGGTCAACAGGTATATGAAAAGGTGCTCGACATCACTGATCATCAAGGAAATGCAAACAAAACCACAGTGAGTCATTCACAGCGATGAGTGAATCACACCTGTTAGGAAGGCTATTTTTAAAAAATGAAAGGTAAAAGACACCAAGTGTTGACAAGGATGTAGAGAAATTTAAACGCTTGCATACTCTTGGTGGGAATATAAAATAGTGCAATTGCTATTGAAATCAGTATAGAGGTTCCTCCAAAAATGAATGATCCAGCAATCCCACTTGAGAGAATATAATCCAAAATAATTTAGAATAAAATCTCAAAGAGTTATCCGCACATCCAGGTTCACTGCAGCATTATTCACAATAGCCAAGATGTGGGAACAACCTATGTGTTCATCAGTGGATGAGTGAATGAATAAAAGATATTTTTCAGCCTTAAGATAGAAGGAAATTTTGCCACATGTAACAACATGGATGAATCTTGGGGACATTATGCTAAGTGAATTAAGTCACAGAAGGCCAACTACTTTACACTTACACTTGTATGAAGTATCTAAAATAGATTCACAGAATGGTAGTTTCTAGGGTCTAGAGAGGGGAAATGGGGAGTTGCAATTCAGTGGACACAGAATTTCAGTTTTGCAAGAGGAATGAGTTCTAGAGATGTGCTGTACAGCATGTGCCTGTAGTTAACAATACTGTATTGTACATTTAAATGTGTTAAGACGGTAGTAGATCTCATGTTAAATGTGCTTATCACAATTTTAAAAAAGTTAAAAACTGACCATAAGCTATGAACAATGATCAGTAGAATCTGTGTTTAGGTAGTTTTTATTTTTGTTGAGGGTTTTGTTTGCTGGTTTGCCATGATGGCAAAGCAGTCTATGAGACCATACCTTGTCTCTCCTGTGGGCGTTCTGGTGTCAGGCTAGATTTATGCCATGATATACTGGGCTCCTGACTGTATAACATCTGAGAAGCACACAGAAGGCCTACACCTGACCCTGTCTTCCTCACTACTTCGAAACTCCCAGCTAGAGAGAGTTTTGTCAACCCCTTAAGCTAGATCTTTATTGACGTCCAGTTTCCAGATAGTCATCTGATGTGCTAATACATAGTAGAGTTTAATCTCATCACCTAACAGAGAGTGGATGCAGGCAGATCCAGGGCTAGGGGCAGATCCAAAAGAGAGTTAACATAACACTAAGATTGGGGGTGAGGAAGAAGGAAAGGGGGAAAGGCCTCAGAGAAGAGAGGCGTGGAGTGGAAATATGAAGAGCTAGCTTTCGTTTGAGCTTGGGAAGCAGCACTTCCTGTACCCGTGGCACACATTTGTGCCATGATTGACAACTCAAAGCTCAAAGAGAAAGGCTAAGGTCATGAAACAAGCTCCTAATTCTTTTCTTTCTTTCCCTTCCCTCCCTTTTCCTTTCTTTCCTTTTCTGAAAAAGCTAGCTGTGATGTGTAAATACTGCACCTGTCACGTTGACTCCTGGTAGCCCCATCCTCTAATCAACTAGTGACTAATGTTAATAAGTACTATGAATGTAGCTTGAAACCGAATATTCCAGAGTAAAATAGGAAACTGAATGTCCTTAGGGGTAAAGGGAGGGTATCAGGCTAAGTGGTCAATAGGATTGCTTTAATTAAAATTCTGTATTTGTGAGGCATTTGTATCATTTTCTTAGTATCACTTTGTCCTCTGATCTCTAAAGAAGTGCCTTAAATTTGCGTTTGTCACCACTTCCCAGGGGTGGCTTTTCATTGAAATGTCACTGACAGCTTGTGGTTTGGACTTTTTTTTTTTTAACTCCAGGAAGAAACAAATAGAAGCCATTAAAAAACTGCAAGAAGATACTGTCAGTCATGAAGCCATCCTCAGGAAGAAAGCTCAAGAAGACAGCCAATGGCTGAAGGACACAGAGGATCAGGTAGGGTGGCCTTTCACTACATTATATTCAGGGGAAGTCTCCTCAGATGTCCTAAAACCATGAAATAAAAATGGAGGCAGAACAAACAAACAAAAAAAAAAACAAAGAGGAACTGCGAAGTTCAGTCCCTCGCGCCCAGCAGTGAGCGGAGGAAGTGAGGGGGGAGTTGTAAAAGAGGCGGTGTCAACAGCCTGCTGATGAAAGAGGCGACTTGACATATCAGGACTTTTACCAGTGTAGAAATAGCTCAGGCATACGAAGCCCATGCAAACACGGAATTGCAGAAGTGCAGTGGAGGCTTATCACTTCCCTGAGAAGAAAAGCACATTTTCAGTTTCAAGTGCATAATAAGAGTGAGCGCTCAGTGACTTTCCTTCCCGGACACGCTGCTCAAGTCTGGTATTAACTGTGCAAACCCAGGTTGAAGATCACGACCGGGCAGCGCACTCTGCCAGGGAGAAAGCCGAGTGTCGGCTGCATAAATTAGAGGAAGCAATTTTGGAACAACGGACTCTCCGGGCTGTAAATACCGAATTAGTGAACACTTGCCAGACACTTGAACAGAAGACAAGAAAACGGACAAGTGAGTAGCACATCTTCGTTAAGTCCCAGTTCAGCCCACTCTGAGGTGGGGCCGGAGGACTACAGCCATTTTTCTAGGCGACAGCTGTTGTATTATCACTGCATTTATGACAACGGAAGGCAGTATTACAGGCATTTCAGGGAGGTTTGCCTAGTGGCTAGGGAGATTGATTTAACCATTCACTTTCCCTTTTGGTTGTTTATCGTAAATTGAATTTCTTTAAAAATGAAATAAAACTTTCTCAATATCTGTAAAAGTAAATAAGGGGAAAAAAATCTTATATACATGGATATTTGAATTTGCCAATTGTTTACATAGTCTAGCCTGATTTTATTAGCTAGTTTGTACCCACCACATGGTGGGAAAAGCCTTGTTTCTCTATTTGTTTTTAAGTGGTAATTTTAGAGTTGGGCAGAATATGGAGGAATTCAATATGTGTCAAAATATTAAATATGTGTGAAAATTCTTTATAAATTTTCTTGTGTTCTTTACATATGTATTTTTGCTTTAAAAAAGGATATTTGTCATTTTTGTGTACTACCTAATGGATGTGTTTGTTAAGGATTTAGGTGAGAAGATTGTCTCAGTACAGATGTCAGATTATTTATAAATATTCTAAAAAACGTAGTTTGACCCAATGAAAGCTTTTTTTTTTCTTTTGACCATTTATCACATACCTGCTTTTGTTCAGCCAGTTTTGTTCTAGCAATATAAATTTTCTTTTCATGGAAAGTTGTTGGTTCACATAATAAACAACTAAATAGAAACTTAAGGTAAGCTAGAGATGGAAATTTGCAGGTTGTGTCTGTTTTGGATTCATTGTATCCTTTCTACTTTATGTGAGAAAGATGTTTCAGAGTTTAAAGGAATTAGCTGGCTCTCAAATAGCAGTGGTTTATTCACTATTTTATTATTATTTTAAACCTTGCAGAGCTTTCTAGTTTTCAATAGCTCTAAGTATCAGTTCACTTTGCTTCACTCTGTCAGACAACATAATGCATGCTTTTAATTACATAATATATATGTTATTTTATGATTGCTTGGAGGGCTGTGAAGGTTCCCTGTGATTGGAAGTGTTCATACTGAGACATGAATAATAAGGTATTCTAAATTTGGTTTATGGCATATTTGCTTTAGATACTGTGCTTAGAGGACTGGTCTTTTGGCCCAGTCATATTTATCTTTTGATTAAATCAATATTATATCACCTCCCCCCCATAGTTTTATAAAAATAAGAATTTGTTTGCTCTCCCAACCCCCCATGATTTCCTTGAGGTACTTTCTTGGAAGAGTCAAATTTTGAAACTTATCCCCAAATGTACATTCTTGATATCATGAACTTATTATTGTCCCAGTTTCTCCTTAGGGTAATTGGTCAAAATATGACTAAAAATAGAGTATGAAAGCTGTGCTGGGTTGAATGCATGTATTTTTTTCTGTCTGGATAAAGTAAATTGCATGCCTCTTTGTCTGGAGTTGTTCAGAAAATGCCCAGTTTATGAACTCTGTTACTTGTTTATATCTTTTGCTGCTCAGAGAAAGTACACACTCAAGATTTTGCCCTTAAGATCATTTGCTTATGGAGCTCTTTCTAATAATGCCTTTACAAACCAACCTTTTCAAGAAGAGGGAAATTAAGGCAGCACGTATTTTTGAAATGCTCTGTACAGAGATTTTCCACTGGAAGTGGAAATCAGAAAGCTTCTTAGAGCTAGAGTAAGCGTCCAACTTACTAAGGTGAATCTAATGTACATGAAACGTAGACTAGCTTGCTGTTCAATGAATAAATGTCAGTGAGGTAGAAGAGCTGCCACACCAGCATGTCCTTGCACTTTCCACCATGACCCCTGCCACCACATGCTGTTTGAATTCTGAGTCAGGAAACAAAAATCTCCAAATCCATTTAGATCTGAAACTTTCCGGTTAGCTTAGTACAGTCGCCGGGCGTTTAAGGCAATTGCTTTCTGCTGCATCTGAGAAAGTTTCATCAGCAAATTGTGTGGGATGCAACTGTTTTGTTCAAAGGTTCAGGTCAATGACAGACTGGAATTAGGAAGTTGTTAATGACATTTGATTAGAAATCCTCAATGTACTGTTGAGTCAACAGTATTGTTCAGATTTTCAGTTGCCACCAGGACTGGACTGATTTATGTGTACACACCTGCCTCCTTGAAATGTGCCATCAGAACTGCTAAATTTCTTGAACGGTTACTTATATATTTTCTTTCTCCTGCTTCCTCCCTTCATCTGTATTTTCATATGTTAATAGGAAGTACAGGATGTGTAAGTGGAGGTTTGCTTTAAAAAGGAAGTCAGAAACCTTCTTAGAGCCAGGGTAGGCATCCGAGTTACTAGGGTGAATCTAATGTACATGAAACGTAGACTAGCTGATCAAATCAAAACTGTTACCCTTTTATTATTCATCCTCTTTTTGCCCATCTTACATGAAATATTTGCCGAGGCATTCATGTAGTAGCCCATCACGGACTTACCTTTAGAAATCATAATTCCTTGGAGAGCGAGCCTCAGAAGCTCTTGTATACGTAAGTCCTTATCTGAACATAGAACTGTATGAACTTTGTAGATTTGCGAACCTGGATGGTCTCACTGGAAACTCTTCTAGCTTGCTGGTCAAGGCTTGGAGGGCATGAGGGGTGCGGCAGAGAAAAGCCATATGGCTTTGAGGGCAGATGCAAGATGAGAGTCTCATGTACACCACAAGGGGGAAATGAGATAAGGAAGGGGGACTCAGGAGACTGCGGCACTGGGAGATCGGTGTTGGGGTGAGGACCACGGAGAAACCCAGGCTCAAATAGTTTGCTCACCAGCTCTGCTGGATGGGGCCTGTGTTTTCCCCAGTGAAATATGCAGGTGCAGATGAAACAACCTAGGAGACAGTACAGCATGATGATTAAGAGCATGGGATTTAAATTGAACAAACCCGTATTCTGATCCTCAGTCTACAAAAGAGGGACTGGATTAAGGTGGACAAACCGCTTTACCTCTCTGAGCCTGGGCATCTGCTTCCAACAAATGCAGTATCTGTTCATTCTCATGCTTGGCCATACTTGGTACTTTCTGTTCTGCCAGAACATGTTTGTATCACATGAATTACCTCATTCACACTTCACTAAATGACATGTTCATATTATATGGAAGTTAAATGGTTTTATTCACAATTTTGTGAAGCCCTCTTTGGAAAGAGGGCTTGGATTGGTAGGAAAAGAACTGTAACGTTCAGCAGGAAAGGAAAAAGCCTTCAGAGTGGCTGCTGACAGGCAGCATGAGCCCGTTCAGCTTTATTTTAAGAAAATCAAAAACAAGGGTCTGTACCTGGGACTCTCTCCGCAGAGGGGCACAGCCCCGGCCTTGCAGGGCTCTCTGGCTTGTGGCCAGTTTGCTCCCTTCTGCGTTCAGGTTCCCCGTCCAGCTGCCTCAGAGTTCCACTTACAACTGCATTTTCTTAGTGCCCCTCCAGGGCTGTGCCATTTAAAGGGACACCGGCATGTCTAGTCCGCTGATTTTATGCATTTCTAGTATCTGTGAGGCAGCCCTTAGTCATTTTAAGATGCTCGTCTCCGTGGTCAAGGTTATCTTTGTAGATATTAATAATTTAATAACCGTGAGTTACTGCTCTGGTTACAATGTTGCTTCTACAGTTTCAGTGGTCTTCCTTACCCTGTTATTTTTTGTTCTTGGGATCTTTTAATTCTTTTTTATTAATGCATAGTTAATGTATTATAAAATGCTCAGATCTTAACCAGCTTGACAAATGCACCTCAAAACACAGGACTTTGGTAAGCCCAGTTGTTCCCTTGCGCTATCTCCCAGCCACTCGCCATCCCCAACCTCCACCACCACAACGTGCAACCGCTGATCTGATTTCTGACATTGATGGGTTAGTTTAGCTTATTCTAGAATTGAGTTACATGGTATGTATTTGTGTGTGTCTGTCTGCTTTTCCCCAGCCTGATATTTATCTCTGTTCCATTGGTATGCCCTTTTCATGGATGAGTTGTATTTCTTTGTATGAACATTTCACAAACTTGATGACCTTTTCTCCTATTTTTGGAAATATAAATTATTCACAGTTTGGGGTTGTTAGGAAGACAGCTGCTGTGAGTATCCATGTATGGGTCTTTGTGGGGCTTTGTGATTTTATTTAAGCTAGGATAAATACTTAGGAGCAGAGTTAATTAGGTCGTAGTACAGTTTTAACTCTAACTTTTTAAGAAACTGCCCAACAGTTTCTCGTAGCGTCTGTAGCATTTCACACTCCCGCCAGCAACATGTGGGAGTTACAGGTGCTCCGCAGCTACAGCATTTGTCGGTACGAACGTTCTTCATTTTTGCCATCCTTCTGGGTCTCTTACTGTGATTTTCATTTGATGTACTGCTGGGCTATTCTCTACTTCTTTGTGAAATAGATACTTCTCTGTGAGCTTCGCTGGGAAGTATCTGAGTCTTTTGTCCATTGTTAAATTAGGATATTTGTCCTTTCATTATTGGATTATAGGATTTCTTTACAGAGACATGGCAGGGCTAACTATAAACAGATAAAAAAATGCAAAGGTGCATGCAAATTAGGGTCTTTACGTATTTTTGATACAAGTCCTTTGACAGATATATGTGTTATGAATTATTTTCCCCTAGTCTGTGATTTTCAATGAACCCTGATATTTTAAAGGCATGATTTTATAGAACATGAGGTAACACATAGATATCAGCTATCATTAGTTGCTAACATTATTGCAGCTCTAATATTAAGTTGATTTTCAACAGCAAAGAAATTTCAGAGCCTTGGCCTGAAAGCTTCATTGCATAGTCACTTAGAAGGTTTGCTTTATCTCAGTTTCCTTCAAAGGCAATGTGTCCAAGACACACGGTCCCATCCGGCATTGCAGATCGCAAGAGCAGGGGATACAGTGGGCATTGTTTTACTTCCATGTGAAACCCAAATGTCCTGGAGACATGGCAGGGCCAACTATAAACAGATAAAG